TTTTTTTTTTTGTGTATATATATATATATATATATATATATATATATATATATATATATATATATATATATATATATATATATATATATATATATATATATATATATATGGGAAGAAAACAAATAATATATAATTGTGGGTGACATAAATGTTACCATCATGTAGTGAGATTTAACATCATGCTTAATGATATGGCATATTTGTGGCGCAGGTGTTGTAATGGGAGGGATGAGACACCCCGCTAGCATGGAAGTGGCTGATCACACTGATAAGCCACTATGCACAAGCACAAAAGTATAGGCTCAATAGTAACATAACGTGGTATGTATATACTGTTCTCGAATAATTTAGTATGATCTGTTTGTTGGTGGTAGCATGCCAGCACAGTTGGATCTTTAGCTTTGCTTATTCCATTTTCAGCTACTTCGAGATGGGAAGTAATTGATCTTTGTTCAATGGGGGAACAGGAAAAACACTCCGAATCGGTTAAAATCTTAATCTATATGAGAGGTGATCTTAATCTATATTCATAACGCCCCTCAATGGGTGACTAATGGTCTACATTAAATTTGAACATAAATATTTGATTCTGATATCATCTTAAGATTTTATTTAATAGCATTCATTTTAAAAGAATAAGCGATATGATCTTAATCTTATTCTTCACACTTGCTGAGTTGGAACACAAGGATAAGATAAGACATTGATCAGCAAAAATGGAGATTTGGAAGGGTTAGTAGGCGAGTGGGACTTGATGAGAGTTATGAGGAGCTTATGGCCCTAACACGCTGAGATTCCTCCATGAATTCCAAGAGATCGATGCATTTCCTTGAGGAGCTCAGCGATTTCCCGTTGTTTCCTGGAGTGCGAAGCGAAATTGTTTGGACCTGCAGACTCATGAGTTCTATTTCACCCCCTTTGTCCTCTTTTTCCTCTGTTCACCTTTGGTAGATTAAAGGTGAGGTTTAAAGAAGAAAGTTGTTCCCTTTTCTCTTACTTTTTTTTTTTTTTTTTCCATCTCCATTTGCGGATGTTTGGTTTACTCGGAGATTTCTTGCAAAAAAACTAGGATTTTTTTTTTAATGAGAAGTTCTCATTTTCAGATTTCCTATTCGGTGCCCCTTAAAGCTTATAGTATTTTTGTTGAAGTGGAAAAATTAGTGTAAGGTTATTCAAAAACACAATAAGAATTGTATTTTTGTTTAAGGGTGCATTGGTGCATAGGGTGTGAGAGCGGGAGTTAGTGTGGAAGGTCCAATTAAAGGCATTGTAGGCAGAGGTACCAAATGAAAAAAATAATAATAATAAGAGGTTTCTTTTTTTTTTTTTTTAAAGAGAGATTTTTTGTTGAAAAAGACAAAATCATCCTTGCATATATATATATATATATATATATATATATATATATATATATATATATATATATATATATATATATATATATATATATATATTGTACTATGGTAGTTTTATATGCCTCTATAGTCCTTCCACAAAAGAAAAAAAAAATTGTCAACCCTGTTTATTTTTTTGTCTCGTTAATAAAAGCTCAAAAGTCCTACAACAACTAGGCATGGATTCACAAGTAGCAGCTCCGTTTATGAGCAATAAGATATCAGACGTATTATTCTTTTTTTTCTTTCTTTAATAAATTTTTCCTAAATAGATAAGATACCATATTAATTTGTATTAAATGAAAGTCCAGGAAAATTAAGAAATAGGTTCTTATTCTTAGCACCCTACTAATCCTTGTTTCTTGGCGTGGGCCCGATAGTAGAATAGACGATGTATATATATCACGTGATATTCATCGTTCCCTTGAAACTTGACACTTGCATCCCAACTTGTCAAAAAGGCCGAAACTTTGTTGATCGAATCTCTAACTTCGATGATTACCAGAATATGCTAACATGTCAAAAAACAAAAAAAACATAAAAGTCGATCTAACCTTTCGTGTCATCATAAATTACAAGAATATTTTTTTAATCTCAAACGGTTAGGTATTCTATATTATAAATAAGAGTGAGAGAAAAGCCATGTGGGTCTAATTGAGATCGATCGATGTGGCTTATGGTTGGTAGCAAACATTAGGTCGCGAAGAATCACTGCAAATCCCAAATGCCATGGGAAAGAAAGGAAGAAAGAAAGAAAGAGCATTATCGGAGACCAACGAGTAAAAACAACCCTATCAGTCTCTTCTCTGTTCTTCGACTTCCTATCCGATTCTACGAAGACGAGGCACTAACACAAAGAGGACGTAGCAACGACAGCGCCGCCGCCGCGCGTCCTCCTTTCCCTCCCTCGCCAAATCTTCTCTTTTGGTTTACGGATCGATTCAGAACTCCTTCCGGTACCAGAAGACACCCTCCTGCTTGCTCCCCTCGTCCGGCTCCACGTAGATGCATTCCCGCGCCTCCCTCCACATCGCCTTCAGCAGCGGAGTCCCGTCGAACTGGTAGTACTCGCCCAGCAGCGGCTTGATCACCCTGGTCGCCTCCGTGGCGTGGTAGTGCGGCATCGTCGAGAAGAGGTGGTGCGCGACGTGGGTGTCCGTGATGTTGTGGAACACCTTGTTGAGCACCCCGTAGTCCCTGTCCACCGTCGCCAGCGCCCCCCGCAGCCAGTCCCACTCGCTCGAGTCGTAGTGGGGCAACGCCGGGTGCGTGTGCTGCAGGTAGGTGATGAGGACCAGCCACCCGTTCACGATCAGCAGCGGCACGCCGTACACCCTCGCCAGCCACCAGAAGCCGTAGCTGGCCGCGAAGCGGTAGAGGGCATACGAGGTCGCCATGAGGCCGGCGTCGGAGATGAAGATTTGGGCCCGCTCGCGGTCCGTGTATATCGGCCCGTAGGGGTCGAAGTGGCAGGCGAAGCGGGGGTAGGGGCGGCCGGAGACGTTGAAGGCGAGGTACAATGGCCAGCCGAGGGTGAGGGTGACGGCCAGGGTGACGAGGCGGCCGAGCGGGTTGTTGAGGTACTTGGAATACCATGAAAGAGAGGCCTTGGGCTTGGGGACGAAGACCTCGTCGCGCTCGATGGAGCCGGTGTTGGAGTGGTGCCGGCGGTGGCTGTACTTCCAGGAGAAGTAGGGGACGAGGAGGGCGGAATGAAAGACGAGGCCGACAACGTCGTCGAGGAGGGAGTAGTCGGAGAAGGCGTGATGGCCGCACTCGTGGGCAATGACCCATAGGCCGGTGAGGACGCATCCCTGGACGACCCAGTAGAGTGGCCAGGCGGCGAGGGCGAGTCCGAGCGAGAGCTTGGGGATGAGGGCGACGGCGACGTAGAGGAAGAGAACGGCAAAGAGCAGGTCCCGGAAGACGTAGGAGAAGGAGCGGATGACGGAGCGGTCGAAGCAGTGAGGTGGAATGGCCTTTTTGATCTGACCGAGGGTGAAGGGAGGCTTCTCGGTGGGCGAGCGGCGGAGGGGCACCATAGTCGCCGTCATGCCTCCGCGCGCGCGCATTGCTCCTGCTACCGCTCTGTCCTCACCTGCGACTCACGCACACAATTCCGTCAGGGCTCAGCCAAAAGGCACAGCAGAGAGGACGGAGGCGAAGAAAGTAGAAAGGCATGCGAGAGGGCGTTCCGTATCCGAACCAGTGGCGATGGCCACATGGTTGGTTTCCATCTTCGATTACCATAGGGCCCCTACCGGTGTTCCCATCACGGAACCAGTAGGCCGCACATCCACTCACCAGAGAAACGGATCTGTGTATAATCTGAGAAAGTGAGGGTTGTGTGATCCCTTGGGCGACGCCTGGGGAGTAGTCGTAGAGGCTTGCGCCTCCCCGAGGCCGTATATAAGCTTTTCGCTTCCTCTCACGTGTGTGGGCAGAAGCGTGGCCGTCGTTCATTGGAGGTCCTGCAGGCTCGCTTGCGAGGTCTCCCGATCTCCCGGATCCTCGCCGTCGGTTCCCCTGGACGGCACGGTGATCTTGCAGCCAAATCAGAGATCTGTTGTTATTTGGTTCGCTCCGGTCGCCGCCAAGTGGCTCCGCCGAGGGGACACCCGGCAGGAATCCCTTCTTCCCGGCCGCGTCACGCATGCTCGGCCAACGAAGCGACCATTTCGGACCTCCTGGACTATGGCCGGAGAGAAGGGTAGTCTGGTCATTTCATGGAAGGGAATGCCGGTTCCCCCTCCGTTCATTTCGAACACCTGTAATGTTGGGAGGCTCCTATCTTGGTTGCGACAGCTGCTGCTACGTGGTATCGTTCATCCTAAAATACCAGCTGTCGTCGTCCTCGTCGTTTGTGCTTTTGAAGTCCTTTTATGTCTCGTGCTTCATCACGAGGGAAGACTGCGTTGGGAGACGATTCATTAATAACACAAGGCCAGAAGAGGTAATCCAGATGCGTATCTACACCCATACAATTTCCATCTATTGTTAGCAAAAAGGTTTACCGGGTGCGAGGAGTTCACATAGATGGTCGGAAAGGACTCTCAAGAATTGATAATGGAGCATATCAAATTTCACATATAATTTATTTAATTATTTGATTTGTCTTAAAAGGTTACAAACATAGCCAATATTTATAGTAGATCTATAATTATTGATATAGTATATTTTGATATCCACCCATGAATACGTCGGTTGCTATGATCGACTTGACATGACATTTCGAAGCTAACATTGCGCACAAGCTAACACCCTGGTTCTGAGTGAGATAATCGTCTGTCATTCATATCCCCAATACACGGTAATAGTTACATAAACCACAATTACTAGTCATAAGTGCTTTGCAAATCAATCACGTAGTGATGACACATATGATATGACATATTCTTTTTATTTTTATTATTATGATATTTTACTCACTTTATATATATATATAT